AGCCCATTACCAGAAATTCAGGACATTAATTATCATAATGCCAGGATTTTGCTTTCAAAGATGGCTGCCGAAATTAAAGCAACTTCTATCTTACATATTGCAGTTGCGGACTTCAATTTAAGACGGGCAGAAACTCTGTATACTTTAATGAATTTTTTTCATATTTCTTTAATTATTATCTTTAACAGGTTCCCCAGTAATGTCATTTCAGCAACTAACCATTATATTGCAAGTATATAGTTATATTGGTTAGTTGCTCAAATGACATTACTGGGAAGGTAATATACAAATATGAAAAATTTTCATAAACTTTCTGCACATCTTAAATCGAAGTTCGCAACTGCAATATGTAAGATGGGAGTTACTTTAAATTTCAATTTTTTCTCCTGCCTTATATAATTCTATTATAACAAGGCAGCCATCTTTGATAGGAAAATCCTGGCATTATGAACTTTTATGGTAATTAATGTCCTAACTTTCTGGTTATCCACCAAAAAGTATTCAACCAATGTCCAATCACCGCGTTTGTTTACGTTTTGCGTTGGACCAACGAGAATTCACGACTACTTCTGTATCTAGATAGGGTCAAAAAGAGTTATTGGGACGCAATGTGTTTGAAGTTTAAAATAAATTGTAATATAACTTTCAGTCTAAGCAACTTTCGCTCACATTTAAGTTTTATTGCTTTGTTATAAAATTTAATTGCGATTTTTGGCAGAAAAACTCAAGTGACAGCTCATTTCAAACACAATTTGTCGGTATTTTTTTTTGAAAAATTATTACAGCATGGCAAAATATTCAAATTCAATATTTGTCTGATCGAGTGATCGTCTCTGTTCGTCTTCGTCGTTCTTCGTCGGTGTTCACATAGATAACATTAATACATTGCTGGTACCCGGTGAAAATATTTTCCTTCCGAAAGCATCAGTTTCTAAGCTTGAGATTTATGTTACAGTGTAGTTGGTATAGGTTTTACGTCCATTTAAGGGGAAAACGTTCGAGCCAGGTAATAGTCTCATTTCGGAAATATTGCACAAGTTTAAACGCGCCGAAAAAAAGGTTCAACTTTCTACAGTAACAGAATAATGATGAAAATTAATTTCCAATCTAAAAGTGTTTTTATTTACAAAAGCTAAGTAAGTTTGAAACTTTATACACTTTATTCTATTCCATGCAATTGCCACTTTAAATCATGAGAAAGCATGCAACGAAAATGGGGTGCATATTCGACACTTTACGTGCATGGCGGCCTTCAATTTGACTTTAAGCCATCGTTCCAGTGTTTTTTTAGTTCAATTTCTATTGCAGTAGATGTCCAAATCATCCCCCCCTTCATCGGCGTCAATCGAACGTTAATTGAGACCGAGGGACGTTTTTGAAACCGAATGGGAAATATTTTTCTATCCGGACCGACCAAAACGGTATTATTTAACGTATTTACTTTTTTTACAAAAAGCGGCGTTCGCTCGTATCGTAGTCAGACACAGCAATGGCGACAAAAAACATGCATCAACAATCAAAACCTAATTCGTTTTATTTACTAAAACTCACTTCAATTTATCGTGATAATCATTTGGTTCATATATTTTTATATTTTAAAAGTGCAAGCTTGTTTTTATTCAAAAATATGAGAGTTGGACCGTTACTACGTCAACGGTCTAATACTGGGGGATTCCAGACCGGCAAAGAACCAATCAGCGCACGCCATTTTAGTCACGAGACCGCGTGCCATATAATAATAATTATTATTTTTGCTTATTATAATTAGTTATTATTAATCACTATGTGATCATGCGGATCACCATGTGTTTGGGGCAGCCGACTAAAGACGATCTGAAGCAAGTTGTTAACGTAGCCTAGGAAGAGGTGGTTTTTTGGCGCAAAAATCTGTTTATGTTGCCAAGTGGAGATACTGGAAAGTCATGGTCGTTAGAGAACTGGAGAGACTGATTAACACTTGCAATAATAACTCGGAGATCTTGCATGATATTTCTTCAAAAATTACTATGATCATGCCTGATCTTCTCTAACAAAAACCAAGATTCAAATCGAGATCGAAAGACCATGTGACTTGTCTGTCTCGGCGCATGGATATGTGGCAAAATGGGAACTTCGATGGGTTACTTCGGAGATGCAGAACCATCCAGTCGTCACTACTGATTATTGGATGAAGAATCATCTGGTGCAACCTCGTGCCAAGGGTCTCCGCCCCAGAGTGAGCACAGAGAAAGGGCCCTGGATACGAGGTTGAGTCTGGTGGAGTTCTTCTTAATGACGCTGTGTACAAGCACCTCTTGCAAAAACATTCACCTGCACAACCTGAGGACCATTCCGTCATGATTGATGGTGAAATTCCGTATGTCGATCCATCGTTACTCGCCAACATCGACGAGGCAGCCAGACTCAAGGTGCTGCTGATCTTTCAGATCTTGACGCACTTGGACGGCGACATATTTTGGTGTCCCGCAACTATGGAGATTCTTGCAAAAACCTAAATAGATAGATAGACTTATCAACTTAAAAAGCTTGCAGCTGAAGTAAACCTACAGCTGAAAAACGTTAAGTTTTACACTTTAAAAATATAAAATTATCAACTTTGAGTTAGCTATAAAAACTATGTAACAAGATCAACCCGTTCAGATTAAAAACTTCCATTCATTACAAACTATAAAATCGTTTTTAAATCTTTTTGTTTTGGAAGGTGGTGTTTGAAACTTCCTTCTACTCTCTCAGAGAAACGTCTGAGGTTTTTAAAGGAGGTAATAGATGGTCCAATTTATTCTCGGGGTCATTTGCAATAGATTTAAAAAGTTTGCTAGTTAAGTTCTGTCTCCATTCAGCAAGTGTGGTGAGACCTAAGATCTGTCAAGAAGTTATCATAACGGTGTTCTGGCAGAATAATTCTGGCAGAACAGGCTCGTTTTTGGAGTCTTTCCAGTTCGTCTGAAAGATATTTTAGGAGAAAATCGTGAAACACATCACACGAGTATTCAGTAACGGGCCGGATACATGTGGTGTAGAACAGAAGGTCTTTCTGTTGGACTTTGGCACGTTTCAATTGGCGTAAAAAGTACAAACGAGTTGAAACATTTTTACATATGTCTTTAATATGTGAATTCCATTTAAGATCATTTGTGATGGTGGGGCCCAGTACTTTTACCTACGATACAACTTCAATTTTTTTATCGTTAATAACGACAGGGTCAAATTCTATTACCTTTGTCGAGAAACAAAGCCGAAGTTCCTTGCATTTAGATTCCTTCATTTGCATACCGTTATTTGCAGATTTTCGGGAAAATTCATTTATAAAATGTTGCGTAGCGCTTGAAAAGTCTTTATCTACAACTTCCGACATCGCAGAGTCATCTACGTGTTTCCAAAGATCATCGTTACCAGTCATATTGAGATCGTTTATCATGACCAAAAACAGCCATGGTCCAAGCTTAGTGCCTTGCGGTACTCCAGCTGGGATCGTTTTCCATTCAGAAACACAGTCAATGCCTAGTGTAACTTTTGTCTACGATCGGTTATAAAATCTAGAATCCGATATAAGGTAGGCAGGGAGATATCATAAGTCGCCAATTTGTTTAAAAGAATGTTATGATCAATCATATCAAATGCTTTTCGGAAATCGAAAAGCATGACTTTTTTGTTGAACCGTTAGCATCGGTGCTTTTCTTCCAGGAGTGTACCATACTGACCAGGCATAAGTCGTACTTGAATTTGGGATTGTTCCAAATTTTTTTTTATCGATTTTTTTTTATCGAGCCAGTAATGCTAGTTTCAAATGATGTTCAACCACAATTTCTTCCGCAACTTTTGATAGAACTGGAGTCAGTGATATTGGACGCAGATGGTCATTGACGTCTGTAATGGGTTTCCTTTTTGGGATTGATACAACGTCTGCATTTTCCCACGATTCTGGAACAGAACAACTACGAAAGGAGGACATTAGAATCTTTCGAACTGGATCTGCGAGGATATCTGCATTCTCCTTTAGTACCCATATTGGGATGCCAACATGCCGTCAGGACCGTAGGCCTTCCTCCAGGTCAGAGCACATAGTTTAACAAACACATCTCCTGGTGTAATCATTAGGATACGGTCATCATTTGTTATCGGTGGGAGCAATTCACGGTAGCAATCAGGAGACAGAGGTTTAAAAAGGAACAGAGGGATCTTCGCTGGAACTAATGTACGAATTTTAAGTGAAGGGCATAAGTACCTTGGAGGATATCTTGGATCGGATAACGGAAAAGATAAGTATATTAGTTCTTTAGTCAGTAAATGGTGCCAGCAACTTCACGTTTGGAGTGAATTTTCCAAATTTCAACCCCATGCAGCATACACGGCGTTTGTCTCAGGTTTTTTCAGGGTGTCTCAGAATGGTACACGATCAGCAGAACATGGAGATTCCATCCACGATCTTCGTCGTGAGATTGCAAAATAACGTCAAGTTAGGAGCTCGTTGCTGCTACAGAACTTGAGATCGTGCATGAGTGAAGAGCAGATTCGAGCAAATGACCTCACCAGTCCTCAACTTGGCTAAGAGCTCTGCCACTTGCTGACGAGAGCTACATCTTGACCAAGGGAGAGTTCTTTGATGCAATCTACATGCGTTATCGATGGCCTTTGAAACGCCTTCCATCTTTCTGCGCCTGTGGAAAATCGTTCACGGTCGATCAAGCCCTGTCGTGCCTGAAAAGAGGCTTTAACCATCGAAGACATGATGAAATCCGTGATCTACTTGCTGCTGCTATCGATGACGTTGCTTACGATGTTTCAATTAACCTGCCCTTGCTCCTTTGACTGGCGAGGTTCTTCCATCCAGTGCTAACTTAGCCGATGACGCCAGAGTGGACATTGCTGCGAGAGGTTTCTGGCAGAGATGTGAAAAGGCATTTTTTGATTGTAAGGGTGTTTAACCCATACGCCTCAACACATCGAAGCCAGACGTTTAGCAGCTCGTTTAAAGCCAACGAACGGGAAAAGGAGCGACATTACAACCAACGGATTGTTGAAGTCGAGCATGGTTCCTTCACACCGCTCGTCTTCAGCGCCTTTGGCGGATGCGGACCCATCATTTTCTTTCCTTCCTGGGTGCGAAGCTTGCTGACAAAAAGAATCATTCTCCATCTATGGTGGTTATGTGTTTGTAATTTGATAGATCAAGATAACCAGATTCCTCCAGATACTGGAACACAGAGTAATAAATGTAAAGGCATGAAACAAACACATCTCGCCACAACCGTTCAATTCTTTGATTGTGTGCACTGGGCCCAGTGATATAACTGCCTCTATCTGGTCCTCTTGATGGGTGTGTTAACATGTACCAAGCTACATCTACATTTTTACCCCCATGGCCACCTCTAACTCTGGAAGGAAGCCCATGAACACTTACTGCATTTGCAAAGTGTGTCATTACTGTGCAAGCCTTGTTATTCCCATTACATGATAGATACATAATTTTCCTAGAGTAGCCATCAATGCATCCGTGCACCACAAAATTCCACCTATAAAATTATATTAAGAGTACAAGTCAAGTTCAAAGTAAAATCTTCTGACATTTATAGCTATCTATATTTGTATTAAATAACAGATTGTGGCACATATATTGAGCAATATATTCTAACAGTCAGAAACTGTTAACAAAAAGGACATCATTGCTGTTTCCATGGTAACAATAATGTTCCAATATGGCATTTCAATAAGTACAGTGTAGGGGTGGTAGGGGAAATGGGGGGCAGAGGTGCACTTTGCATCAATAGCCAAATGCTAATTGCCAAATCGCAATTTCAAAAAATTTTTACTTTTGTAGTTCTATTTTTCTCTTTGTACAGAGAAACATTCATTAAATGAGTTTAAATTTGTTTATAACAGCGTAACTGCAAAAGATTCTGTCAACTGCCACTAGGTTCAAATCCCCCCCCTGCCCTTACTTCACTTCAGCGTACCTGCTGGTGCATCCATAATGATAAGCACATTCACATAACATACCTTTTAAGCTTGTGATTGCCATCCATATGCCACAAAGCTAATGGGGCTCTAACGTTGTACGACCGTCTGTGAGTCACACGGATTTGGAGAACTCTAACTACAGTGCTTTCGGGGTCATTTCGAAAGGTATATCAAACCTTGGTCTCCCTTTAAACCCTGTGTTTACGAGTGGAGGGGTAGCTAAACTGCTTATATCTTCTTGTCCATCGCTCGACATAGATAGCACTTGCTTAGCTTCAAGTAAGTATGGAAGTATCGATTCTTCTAAATTGCCGCCAATCCTCAACAACAAACCAATTAGCCAGTCTACTTTATAGCTAGCAAAGTCGATTTTATTACTGTAGGATTGGCCTTCTAATTTTGTTATAATATAATTCAAAACACTATTAACATTTATACAAACTCAACTGGACATCTATGTTGTCCCTCCATCTTGAATTTTGATCAGGCCTCCCCCCACGGGGACATATAGGGATAATTTCCTGATGGCATTTCACTCCGGTTACGATGTTACGGCATTGCATATCTCGGTACGACATTGCATATCCGGGTACGACATTCCATATCCCGGTAGGACATTGCATATCCGGGTACGGATTGCATATCCTGGTACGATATTGCATATCCGGGTACGACATTGCATATCCCGGTAGGACATTGCATATCCGGGTACGGATTGCATATCCCGGTACGACATTGCATATCCGGGTACGACATTGCATATTCCGGTAGGACATTGCATATCCGGGTACGGCATTGCATATCCCGGTACGACATTGCATCGCTGCGTACGTTTCGGTCCGACTACTTTCTAAATATACATTGTATCGGCTACGATATTGCATCATATCGGTTACAAAGTAAACTACAACATAATACACTATATGGGATACGGCATATCACAATTTTGTCCACAATCCCCCTCCATAGTCGAAATTGGAGGACTGCGTCCATCACATCGACTAATGACATTACTTTATCTGAATGGAACTCGAAATATAGCGAGTCTAGTCAAGTGTTTTTGTAAATAGTCTGTAGAACTGTTATACTTTGTTTTAATGCATGATAGATTATTGTAAATTTCCTAGTATTTCCCTAGGTAGCCCAAAGGTATTTGTGTTTTAATCTAAAGCGTCCATCCAGTTTAATATCGCGGTGTGTGACGTTAACACCAATTATATATATATATATATATATATATATATATATATATATATATATATATATATATATATATTATATATATATATATATATATTTGTATTATAATAAGAAAAGTTGGCAACTGAATATAAATTAACGACGTACAGCCTCGAAACTATCGACAAAAAACATTGAAAATATGCAACATAACTCACAAAAAACATCATAACAATAAAATTTGATGTTTTTAATTGCTCCCCAGTACATTTTCTTGTTGAAAACATCTCTAGAAATACGAAAAATTTAGCGATACTTTTCGTGTTGCTATGAAGTTTTTCGCCGTAACGATGCGGGATGTCTTTTGCCTGGCACTGGTTTTCGATTCAAATGGCGAAGCAGCGACCTCATTGGCTCTTAAAGTTGGCGAATATTTAAATTGGTATATTCGCCAATTATTATCATCATAATAATTACTATCATGCGGTTAAAAAGTCCAGAAGGAAAACTAAAAACAGTTCAATTCATGTAGATCGATAATACCTTAAGGGTTTTACACTATATAGAAAATATAGTTACTTATCAATTGTATTTACAAGTTACGACGTTTAAAAATTTATAAGTATTTATAGAGTTTAAACAACTTGGTTCATGTATCTGCCGTAAATGATATTCATGGTTATACCAGCACTATTATTATTATTAAGAATTTCCTTCAAGGGACCAGCTAGTTTATTATCTCTGACGAACTTCTTGAAAATATCTTCTCGTCTTTCTGACAATGTGCGGAGACCAGCTTTGCACATGACGAATATGCTGCATTTTTGGGGTTTTGACTTCGTAACAGCGACTATTATTATTTTTAGGCTGAATTTAATCTTCAATGGTCTGTTGATTCTAATTCTAAAGAACATGCTTTCAGAAAAATTAAAGTACCCCAAAACGTCATCGTGAGAAAGGCTAATTGAAGGAGCTATTGGAAGACACCCCAGTCTTCCTACGTGCGCGGTCAAATATTTTTTCATTGTTATTTGCGAGAACGTCAACAGCCCACACTCACTTCTCTTGAGATATTGCTCCTTTCTTAGCAAATTTAAGTGAAACTTAAAAATATCCTAACACAGAGCATCAGCTTTTAAGCTTTTAGCATTTCCTAGTCAAATTGATAAGAAAATAGCCAAAGTAAACATGAATTCAGTTTGGCCGTGCATGTAGGAAGACTGGGGTGTCCTCCAATATCTCCTTCGCTCCGTGACGTCACCGAATGAAACACGCACGAGAAGTCCAGCTTATTGAAAATAGAAATTTGTTATAGCGAAAGTGTGTAGGTACTAAGCACTTTCAACCAAACACACTTTCAACTAAAATATTGTTTAAGCTATTAATTATCACTACTTTTAACATACACGTACACATGTGACATAATACTTACCAGCTTTCATCAATTTGTCTCTCGCAACAGTGTCCACTTTCTGACTTCCAAGCACTGATTACGTCTTCGGCTTTCATCTTATTTAATGGCGTATCTCGTAGCAATATTATTTCCATTTTCACCGCAATTTCCAGCATTCCTTTACACACCGAGTTTTCGAAACGCAAAAGAGACTTGTAGTAATCAAACAAGCCATTAGTATGAGTGAAGGAAGAGCAGATGTAGGCATCAGTCAATTGCCGCAAAATTTTAAAATTTTTGTCGGATAATTTCTCGCATTTTGCGTGAAACCAAAACCCGCAATCTTTACAAAGAACAGCATCATCGTTGCACTGAGACCTGCAAACGCCGCAAGGTCATTTGCATTTACCACCGGTAAAAGAAGATTTTCTTACCATTTTTTCAGGAATAATGTTTTAAGATGGCTCCCTACAGTTTCTCGAATTTTTTAGATGCACATTTCAAACGGGGATATTCAGCATCTAAACGTTTGATTAGAAGACTAAAATTTTCTATAACTTTCAGACAACATACCTAGAGCCGAAATCTATTCAGAACTTGTGCCTGGCAGGCGTTGCTATAGCAACAGAGACGTTTCAAAATGGCCGCTAAAAATCATTTAATCGAGTTTAAATCGCAAACGAGTTCGGTGACCCCCAATTTTTTTTTCATCGTAATTTTACTCCATAAATGGTTTTTCGATAGTAAAGTTTTAAAAAATTTCTGTCTAGTGCGATTTCTTTAAATGGCTAAAATAACGTTTTTTGCAATAGAAAAAATCGCACTAGACATTTTAGAATTTTTTTAAAACTTTACTATCGATAAAGCATCTAGGGTGTAAAATTAATGATGAAAAAAAATTGGAGGTCATCGAACTCGTTTGCGATATAAACTTGATTAAATGCTCTTTAGCGGCCATTTGAAACGTCTTTGTTGCTATAGCAACGACTGCCAAGCACAAGTTCTGAATAGATTTCAGCTCTAGATATGTTGCCAGAAAGATATATAAAATCTTAGTCTTCTGGTCAAACGTTTAGATGCTGAATACCCCTGTTTAAAATGTGCATTAAAATTTTCGAGAACTGAACTGTAGGGAGCCACCTTAAATCAAAGCCAGAAAGTTGCTACAGATGCTACCGCGTGTCGCTAGGAGCTGATCATGTCAGTCAATGGACAATGCATGAGTCATCCCATTTTGCATTTTCGGTTATCATATCAATAGCTTGTTTTGATCATTAACCACTAACACATTAATTCAGAATTAGTAGCAAGGTCATAGAAGTGTTCATGAATGAATTTCGCGGGACTGTTTTCCCCGCGCAAATTGCCTTTCTTCATGCCTTTTTTGCCGAGAAAAATCGGGTGTTGATTGAATGATCTTTTCGACCAGTTGGCTTTCAAAACAACTTGTCGTTCGTTGACCGCACTATAGGAAATTTTGTTACGCGTGGCAAAAAATGTTTGATATCAGGTAAATGCGTCAAGAATGATGACAAAAATGCGCAATTCTTACTGTACTGAGAGAGCTGCGTGGATTAAGTGTTCACTGTTTAGAGCAAAGATTAAT